CCACAACCGAGGTCCAGTCGTCTGCCGCTCGCGAGCAGAACTCGTCGATCACCCACAACCGAGTCAAAGGTGAACGACAAGACCCCGCCTCCGCCTTTGGACGAGCAATCAATTTGAGGTCTAATCTACGAATTGTTCCGTCGTCAGTGCAAGAGAAATCATCGGATGTGTGCATATCCAGGATCAGTTTGTAGACGGTGAGATCCCCGCCGTCGGATGAGGGCGACGACGACATCCAGTGGACGGTGAGGGACGACCACTCTAGGGAGTGGCAGATGACCAGGAGCACAGTAATGGCGTGTTCTTCCCTCTCCAAACGTGAAATCCGAAGTAAACCATGGAAGCGATTCGATTATGATAGGTTGGGTCGTCTGGGCACTGGGCAGATGACGATGTTGCGATTTTTAGAATTTCTACCACAACCGTAATGTAAATTGTTAGGAAATTATAAAAACTTTGGGTTTTTTTTCTTCAGTGTATCGTGTTAAATTAGGAAATTAAGAAGAAGAAGAAGAAGAAGAAGAAGAAAAGAAAGAGAAAATAAAGAAGATGTTATGCGAGAACCAAAAAGAAGGAAGGAAGAAGATGAAAAATGTGAAAAAAAATAAAAAGAAAAAAATTAAAGAAAACGTGGGCTAAACGGAGGGATAACTAATATGGTTAATATAAAAACCGTCACATTAAAATAACTGAATATGTATAAAAGTGAGTTTGAAAAAAACCATTATTATAAGAATAAAAAGTAAAACAAATTGTGGAAAGAATAATGTGCCAACTCCAAAAAGGAATAACAATTTCTAAAGAGTTAGAGTGTGTCATCCTCCCTATATATAATTCCCGAATGCGCTGAGCCTACGTGGCCGCTTCTGGTGCTTCAGAATTCTACTTGGCGAAGAATCATGCTTTGTAGTTTGGTTTGGACAAATAATATTATATATTAATAACTAGTACAACGCCCGTGTATTACACGGGAGCTTGCTAAGTTTTTTCTTAAAATCTAAAATTACTGAGAAACGGGAGTTGAAATTTTAAACACCTTTTAAAAATATTTATATTATTATATTTTGTATGACACTTTTTATTTGTGCGACTTACTTGGTTATATTATAATAATTTTTTAACTTACAACATATAACTACATTAAACGTGAATATATCAGTTGGGAAAAAAAAATTATTTTTCTAATGAATTGTAGTAAATATTATTATTTATTATTATTATAAAGGTAAATATAATTTATTTATTTTATATCTATACAACATGGATGTCAAATCGAAGATCATCAAAATATGATTAATTTAATATATTATATATGTAAAACCGATAACAAATACAAAAGTTATTAACCTTTAAAATACATTTACAATTCAATAGCTAATTGTAGGAAACAAATCAAAAGTCAGGGATATATTAGTCACTTAGTGATTCACTATCTAAAATTATAAAGAATTAAAGGGTTATATTAGTACAATTGATATTAAACTACCTAAGTTAGCTAAATAATATTTATGGAATGCCCGAACCTAGATTATTAGTTATTAATATATAATATTATTTGTCCAAACCTAACTACGAAGCATGATTTTTCGCCAAGTAGGATTCCGAAGCACCAAAAATAGCCACGTAGGCTCAGCGCATTCAAGAATTATATATAGGGAGGAATTTAGGGAGTGGAGCGTATATATAACAATATGAGAATATCTGTTAAAATATCCACAGATTTGGTACTATAAAATATTTATTTTTTAATTTTTTAATTTTTTGATATTGATTTTGATTAATTGAGTCATTGCAGTTACAAATATACGTAATTAAAATACTCAGCGACTGAACAAGCATATAAATAGGGAAAATGCTAAGGTTCCGTTACGATACCATGCCGTTGGGTATTTTAACCGTTTGATCATCTATCTTATCTAACTACATGTTAATCCAACGGTTAAAATACCCGACGGCATGGTACCGTAACGGGACTTTAGAATCTCCCAATAAATAGATGTCAATATTAATCAAATTATCACTACACCTTACTACACTCTAAAATATTGTTGATTCTTCTATTCCAAAACGTTTCTTTTTATTCTTTTTAACGGCGACACAAAATTTTGACAAAACCAGCATGAGAAAAAGACCAAGTGATTCGTCTTCGTTTGGTTCGTTTTTTCTTTTTTTTTTTTAAACGGATTCGAAAAGTTTGAGTAAAACTAAAAGCTCGGAATTTGTATTACATGACTTTGAGGTAATGTGAATTTTGTAGACATTATTTTCGTCTTTTATTTTGTTTAAACCATTTATTATATTTTTTGTCATCTACATTTTATTTTTCACTAGTACAACTCCCGTGTATTACACGGGTGTTTGCTAATTTTTTTCTTAAAATCTAAAATTAATGAGAAAAAGTAGTTAAAATTTAAATACATTTTATAAAAATATATACATTGTTATATGTTTAGTATGTCACTTTTTATTTGTGCGACTTACCTGTTATATTATAATAATTCTTTTTAACTTATAACATAACTACATTAAACATAAATATATCAATTGAGAAATAATTTTATTTTTCAAATAAATTTTAGTAAATATTATTTTTTTATTATTATAAAGATAAATATAATTTATGTATTTTATATATACAATATGGATGTCAAATCGAAGATCATCAAAAGATGATTAATTTGATATATTATATATGTAAAACCGATAAGAAATACAAAAGTTATCAACTTTTAAAATACACTAGTACAGAGCCCGTGCACAATTTTAAGGTCATTTATCCATTCTTATAATTATAGAAATGAATAAAAAAAATGTACGGGATATATATAGTACGTGACCTGTAATAGGCCAAAATGTGAACACGGGTGATGCACGGGGTGCACAATTATAAGGTCATTTATTAGTACAGAGCGCGTGCGATGCACGGGGTGCACAATTTTCTAGTATGTGTAATAAAAATACATACCGTATGCACGGGACAGAAGCACTAAATGAGTCATTTCCACAGAGCTTGTCCGTTAAGGTAGCTCCTGAACACGGGTGCACAATTTGTAGTACGTACCATAAAATCAGAACAGATTTCCATACAATTAGATAATAAATTAGATAATAAATAAAGTCTTTTTATTTTAGTAAAGATTTTACGTACTTTGTTTTTTTAATTATCGGATGTTATGAGATTTTTTTTGTTACATCGATTTTATGGAATATAATACAAATACAATTAAAGGATTGAACAAAATCAGAACAGATTTTCATACAATTAGATAATAAAAAAATTAGATAAAGAAAAGAAGGAATTAGATAAGGAATTTTGAATTTGACTTTTTTTTTGGATAGATAGACTTTACGTACAAATTTTGACTTCACTGATTTTATGAGATTTATTTGGACAAAATCAATGTTAATATGGAATAAGACAAATAAATAGAGTCTTTTTATTTTAGTAAAGATTTTACGTCTTTTTTTTTTTTTGACTTGTCAGATGTTATGGGATTTTTTTTTCTTAAACTGATTTTATGGGATATAAGACAAATAAATAAAATAATTAAATAATATTTTGGATAGAAATAGCAATGCATTAATTATGTTGACTTTTCAATCTACTAAATTGGGTAAATAGGATACCTTATATAATAAGTATAGATACAAATAAATAACATGCCAAAATTTTAAAGAATAATTAATGTATTTTAATTTATTATCTAACCATCAGTAATATCATTTAATGATGTGATCATTATCTCTTAAATGATAAATAAAATATTAATTTATTTTATATTTTTTGTTTTTTATATACTCAAATAAAAATTAAAAAATACTATCGAAAAATATGAATTATAAT